CCAAGCGCACGGGCGGGCTACGGCCCATCGCACTGTTGCACGTGCTAGCGCGCGTGCAGGCGCGTCTACGCAGGCCCCTACTTCTGAAGTGGCAGCAAAGTAACGTTCGGAGTTTCTGGTGGTCTACGTCGGGCAGGGGGTCGGAGCGGCTCGTGTGGGTCCAGGCTGCCTCTTCGGAGTGGGCTGTTAGCCAAAATTTGTGTGCTGGCACCGTCCTGCTCGACCTCCGCAAAGCATTTGAAAGTGTCAGACACGATGTGCTGCTCAACGCCGCTCGGACGTCTGGCTTTCCCTTGAGACAGCTTCGGCTGCTCGTCGATTTGTATCGCTCGCCACGTGTGCTTGAGTATGCTGGCGTCAGCTCGCAGCCCGTCGCCACCCAGCAAGCCGTGCTTGCTGGCTGTCAGTTCGCCACGCTCTGCCTGCAGATGGTGCTTCTCTGCCCGCTCGACACCGTCCAGGCTGCCTTCGTTCCGTGCACCCGTCGGGAGGTGCACTTAGGAGTCGTGGTTGACGACTTTGGGCTGCACAAGGTCGGCTCACATCAATCAGTCCAGAATGAGCTGGCCAGCGCCACTATCATGCTGCATCATGAGTTAGAAAAGATTCACTTGCCAGTCCACAGGCAGAAGAGAAGAGTTCTAGCGTCCACCCCCAGTCTCAGGCATGAGCTCGCCGTGGTCCCCCGCTCTCGTCGGGTTCTTGCCGTGCAGTCTGAGCGTAACCTGGGGGTGGACTATGCGGCTGGCGGAGTCATCAAGCGGGCCACCAAGCGCGGTCGCAGGATCTCAGCCGCCGTGCGGCAACGCAGAATAGTCTCTCTTGCCAGCAAGCTTCGCAAGCGCGTAGCGCATCACATGGTCCGAGCTGCCGTACAGGCCTCCACCGCCTATGGGTCGGGGGTGACGGGCAGCTCGGAGACCGAGCTTCGACAGGCGAGATTTTTGCAGGCCAGCGTCCAATGTCAGCGCTTGCATGGGCGCAGTCTCACCTTGCTCTTGCAGATGTTAGGGGTTCGGCACCTCGACCCCGCCTACGCGTTGAACATCCGGCCCCTCCTCCACCTCGCCACCGCGGTCTGGGAGTCCTGGGTCCCGCGGGGCGTCGTCGTGGCTGGCCTCCAAGGGGCCTGCCGCGCCCTGGAAGGGCACTCCTCGCCCTGGAAAGCCATCCGTGGGCCCTTCTCTGCGTGTGTGGCTACGGCCAGAAGGCTGAGCATCAGTACCGACGGCCTGCGATGGTATCATCCAGTCGTCGGCTATTTCTCGTTGGCGGAGCTGTGTCCTCGCGCGATCGTGCTCGCGCTGACGCGCGTCGTGGACGCCTGGTGTTGGCACAGAGTGGCCGAGCATCTCGGCCAGCCAGCATTTCAGCGCGGGCCCTTTTTGGCCCCTAGTTTTTCGGGCACGCGTGCGCTCACAGCCCAAGAAAAAGCGTACATCGTCTCCGTCGTCACAGGAGGACAGTGGCCGCAGGCGCGGCAAGCAGAGTGCAGGCTCTCCGAGTCAAACGCTTGTCAGGTCTGCCTCGGTTCCCCTGGCACTCTCCTGCACAGGCACCTTGCGTGCCCGGGCCACGAGCAGGTGTTCGGCCTTGAAACCCCGCCCATGGCCGCCTCCCTCCTGCGCGCCAGCGACAGCCCTACTGTGCGCCTCCTCGCCGAGAGGCTGCTGGCGCCGCTGCCTGCCCCCCCCCCCTCGCCCCCCCCCCCCGCTGAAGTCTGGGTGAAGGGAGAGCCCAGCATGCTTGACGGTGACGTCTTTCTCGACGGGAGCCTCCTGGACGGAGAGCTCCCCCCCGCCGCCCAGTCCCTCGCCTGGGCCTGTGTTGCTCTTCAGGACGATCGGCCCACAGCGGCCGCTGTTGTCGCTGGTGGGCTCCCCGCAGGCATGTATGACATTAGTGCTTGCGAACTCTGGGCCTTCCTCATGGCCCTCCGCCTGTCAGCCTCTGGCGCCACCTTCTGGACCGACTCCCAGTTCGTGTTTGGAGGTGTCTGGCAGCGGGGAAAAAGCGTTCTGCTGCTCGGCAAAGTCGGCATGGGCCGACGTCTGGGCCAAGGTGTGGGCCTGCCTCGAGGATCGGGGGGGGGGGTCGACTGTCTGCGTTTGCACACGGTCAAGGCCCACACCTCTCGCGGTGACCTCGAGCGAGGCGCCATCTCCGAGCGCCAGCCCGCGGGCAACCAGCTCGCCGACGCCGCCGCGAAGGAGGCCGCCGCCCACTCTCTTGTGTCGCCAGAGTACCGTCGCAGGTTTCATGCCCAGGCCAAGGTTGTGAAGTTTCTCACCGTCTGGACTGGCCGTGTAGGCCTCAGGATGGCTGATGTGGACGCGGAGCACGTTCCGCCTGGGAGGCGCAAGCTGCCGCCGCGTAAGGATTGCTGTGTTGTGCTGCCGCCCGAGGTCGTGGTTCCGCCCGTCCTGTCCAGGGCCGATGTTGCCCTCGCCGCCCTTGCGCGCGGCGGGCACGTCACCCATCGTGCGTTTCCCATCTCCCTGGCCAATGGGGTGAAGGGAATCGTCTGCGCTGTGTGTGGCGCTGGAGGCGTCACCCTCCAGGCCTCGTTTCGTGAGGCATGCAGTCAGAGGCCCACCGCCTGGGGGGGCCGCGTGCTAAGGTGCCTGGCCCAGGGCCGCTACAAGATGGGGCGAGACTGGATTCCGCTCATCGAACCCTGGCGGCCCCGCGACCTTGTCGAAAGCGGCCAGGCACTCCGCCCGCTTTAATTTTTGAGAGGGGGGGGCCCTGTCGCTGGCCCCCGCCAGGGCCGTCAAACCCTGGCGGGGCGACAAAAAGGTCTCGCTCCGATGCCCCCCCCCCCCCCCCCCCCACCTCGGGTTTGCCGGACGAGGGACATCGCTCATTCTCCCTTAGGTTCGTTGCGCAGGAGGAGGAGGAGGAGGCGAGAGGAGGAGGAGGAGGAGGGAAGAACAGGAGGGGGGAGGAGGAGGAGGAGGAGGCAGGAGGAGGAGGGGAGGAGGAGGAGGAGGAGGAGGAGGAGGAGGAGGAGGAAGAGGAGGAGGAGGAGGAGGAGGAGGGAGGGAGGAGGAGGAGGAAGGAGTAGAGGAGAGGAGGATGAGGGGGAGGAGGAGGCAGGAGGAGGAGGAGGAGGAGGAGGAGGGAGGAGGAGGAGGCTGAGAGAGGAGGAGGAGGCGAGGAGGAGGAGGAGGAGGGGAGGAGGAGGAGCGAGGAGGAGGAGGAGGAGGAGCGGGAGGGAGGAGGAGAACGGTGAGGAGGAGGAGGAGGGGAGGAGGAGGAGGAGGAGGAGGAGAGGAGGAGGAGGAGGAAGCGGAGGAGGAGGAGGAGGAGGAGGAGGAGGAAGAATAATAATCAACATAATAAGAATAAAAAGAATAATAGGAATAGTAAGAATAAGACAAATAAGAAGAATAATAAGAATACTAATAAGAAGAATAATAAGAAGAAGCAGCATAATAAGAAAAAGAAGAAGAACAATAATAATAAGAATAATAATAATAATAAGAAGAATAAGAATAATAAGAATAAGACGATTATTAATAATAATAACAATAAAAATAATACTACTAATACTGATAATAATATTTTTTAATATTATTTTTATTATTATTAATAATACGATTAATAATAACAATAATAGTAGTAATAATAATTCTTATTAAAATTAATAATACTAATAATAATACAAATACTACTTATAATAATAATAAAAATCATACTAATAATCATAATGATAATGATGATGATGATAATAATAATAATAAATATTTATATTATTTTTACTAATAATAATACTACTATTAATAATAATAATACTATTACTCATAATACTAATAAGAAGAAGAATAATACTAATAATAATAATAATAAGAATAAGAAGAAGCATACTAAGAAGAATAGTAATAATAATAAGAATAATAATAATAATAATAATAATAATAAGAATACGAATACTCAGAAGCATAAGAAGACGAAGAATATTAATAATACGAAGAATAAGAAGAATAATAATAAGAATAATAATAAGACAAATGATAAGACTAATAATAAGAAGAAGACTATTAATAATGATAAGACGAATAATACTAAGCATAAGAAGAAGAATACGAATAAATAAGAAGAATAATACTAAGAATAATAAGAAGAATACTCAGAATAATAATAATACTAATAATAATAAGATTAATAATAATAATAAGAAGAATAAGAAGAATACGAACAAGATAAATAATAATAAGAAGAAGAAGAGGAGGAGGAGGAGGAGGAGGAGGAGGAGGAGGAGGAGGAGGAGGAGGAGGAGGAGGAGAGGAGGAGGAGGAGGAGGAGGAGGAGGAGGAGATGAGGAGGATGAGGAGGAGGAGGGGAGGAGGGGAGGAGGGGAGGAGCAGGAAGAGAGGAGGAGGAGGAGGAGGAGGAGGAGGAGTGAGGAGAGGAGGAGGAGGCGGAGGAGGAGAGGAGCGGGAGGGAGGAGGAGGAGGAGGAGGAGGAGGAGGAGGAGGCGGAGGAGGCGGAAAGAGGAGAGGAGGAGGAAAGAGGAGGAAGGATTAGGAGGAGGAGGAGGAGGAGGAGGAGAAGGAGGAGGAGGAGGAGGAGGAAGAGGAGGAGGAGGAGGAGGCGGAGGAGGAGGAGCAGGAGGAGGAGGAGGAGGAGGAGGAGGAGGAGGAGGAGGAGGAGGTGGGGTTCACTCCGTGCGGGGCCTTCCGAGGGGAGTGTGCCCCACCTCCACCCCTTCCCCAGGCGCAGGAGGTCGCGCCTGGCCCCCCTCCCGATGCACGCCGACGTCGCCGACGCATCGCCGCCCTCGTCGATGCATTGCCACTTGACGTGCGCTGCGCGGGGGGCAGCGTTTTCGAATTCGCGGCGCTGGCGGCGCGGCGTCCCCAAGGTGCCCGGGCGCCTCCTCTGGGCGCCTGCGGCAGCGCCGGTCGTCCGAGCCTGCTCGTCAAAAAGCATCGGGGATGCGGGGCGATCCTCCAGCCCGACGTATACTCGGGCCCCGTCCGGGAGGCCTCTCTAAGGAGGCGCTTCCTCCCCAGCGCTTCGCCTCCGAGGCGGACTTGGCGGACAGGAGGGACAACCTCGCGGTGGCGCCTGCCCGGGAGAGCGTGCTGAGACTCAGCACCCACAGTCCGGTGCCGCCCCGCCGGCCGAACACCAGCAGGCGCAGCACTCTGAGCGTGAGCAGGGCAGTCCGCCGGCCGTTCAGCAGCAGCAAGTTTACCACTGAGGATCAGGGGCAACGACAGGGAGGGATAGGCACAGGGGGGGGACGTATCGTCCCCCAATCGCCCGCTGGTCGCCGATAGGGGCCCGATAGCCCCTAACCTGCCCAGGAACTTTCGGATTCACTCTCGGAGCCCTTTCGCCGATCGATCGGCGATGTATCGCCGATTCCAGGTCGATGTTCCCCCACCTCTTGTACGGTATCCACCCCTGTCGTTGCCCTTCAGAGGAAGTGGAGAGAAGGGTCAAGAGCGTCCTCTGGCAGCAGACAACGTCGGAGGGAACCGCCTGGGGATGGGCCGATTTCGTCGAAGGCCCGCGCTTCGAGATGATCATGGCAGTGCTCATCACGCTGAATGCTATGCAGATGGCCCTTGAGGTTCAGCACTCGGGCCTCGTTCGCGGGTTCAAGCTCGGCTACCGCGACTACGCGAAGAACCCGGATCCATGGCCAGGGGCAGACGAGGTATTCAAGCTGGCCAGCATTTTCTTCGGTGTTGTCTTCACGTGCGAGGCGTGCCTCAAGATTTCCGTCATGCGCAGCGTTTTCTTCAAGTCGTATTGGAACCTGTTCGACCTTTTCTTGGTCCTCTGCTTCCTCGTTGAGCTGGTGGGCTCGGTGGCGGCGAGTCTGGCCGATACCACCGCCCTCCGCCTGGCCCGCCTGGCCCGTCTGGCCCGTCTGGCTCGCCTGGTCAAGCAGGTACGGAGCCTTGACGCGCTCTCCCTCATGACCACCGCGCTCCAGAGCAGTGCGCTCGTTCTGGCCTGGTCGTGTATCCTGCTCTTCATGATCCAGGCCGTGTTCGCCTTCTGCATCAACCAGCTCCTCGACGAGTTCTATTTCGGCGGCGACCACCCGCATCATGAGGAGGAAGAAGTCTTCATCTATTTTGGCAGCTTCTCCCGGGCGCTGCTCAGCACCTTTGAGATGACGCTGGCGAACTGGCCCCCTGTTTGCCGCCTGCTGCAGGAGAATGTGAACGAGTGGTTCATGGTGGTCTGCCTGCTACACAAACTCACGGTCGGCTTTGCCGTCATCGGAATCAGACGGTGGCGCTGCCGCGCATTGCCGCCACCGCGCTTTTAGGGCACCTTCGCAGCAAGGCTCTGGCCAGGTACGGGCACTCGGTAGCAAATCATGGGAGCCTGGTGTACCCTCTTTGCCTTTAGCGTCGATTCGCGTCGATTAGCGGCTGGGAGTGGATGAGACAGCGCCGATTTAGCGTCGGATATCGTCGATTGGCGTTGATGCAGCGTTGATTGGAGTCGTTTTAGCGTCGATTGGCGTCGATTCGCAAGAGCCGACAAGATGAAATGGGTGGCCCCCGAGAGTGGCCACCGAAGGTGCGGGCGTCTTCTGGCGTGGATCCGTCTTGTGGTCCTCTCTGGGGGCCTCCCGGCCGTCTCGGGGAGCCCTCGGGCCACCTTCGGGCAGCCTCGGGGCTCTGCCCGCTGCCGTGCTGGGCTCTCTTTGAGGTCTGGTGGAGCCTCCCAGTTCACGAGTTGGAGCGCGTAGTAAAGATCTGGCCACCCTGCTAAAGGCATGTTGGCTGCACGCTCTTCTCTCTGCTCACACACTGACTGGTGCAAGGCTTACCTGACCTGACCTGGGCCTCCCAGATGCTTCCCCGAGGCGGCGTTGAGTCGAAGAATTCCAGAATCACGTAGATCGGCCATGTCGTCCAAGAGCTATATTCGGCCGTCTTGGGGAGTTCATGGGCTGCTGGGCTCTTCGGGGCCCGTTCCCGAAGTCCGTCGGTGCCGATGGGCTGCCGGACCTCCTCGGGCTCGTTCGTTCTGCGGGTCCCTCGGCGCTGCTTGCGAGGCCCACGAGGGCATCCTAGGACCGTAGATGGATGTTCGTGAGCGAACTGTATTGGGTCTCTTTGGAGGCCATCCTCTGGGGCCGTCCCGAGGCTCTCTTGGACTGCGCCGGGTTCGCTCGTGGGCCGCCCAGGGCCCCGCGGAGCCGCCCTGGCGTCTCCTGGCAGCGTCTGGAGGGCCACAGCAAGAGTCGTCCAGGGTCGTCTTCGGGCGGGGTTGGGACAAGGACAAATCCGTTCCAGAGCGTTCCCGAACGCTCTGAGAGAGAGCATCCTGGAGCGCTCTGAGAAGGCCGCAGCGCACGATAGATCCTCCAGGACCGCCAGGCCTCAGAGATACGACGACGACGACGACGACGACGACGACGACGACGACGACGACGACGACGACGACGACGACGACGACGACGACGACGACGACGGTAACGATAACGATAACGATAACGATAACGTAGCGGTGACAACGACGGCGACGGCGGACGACGCACGACGACGACGAGGCCGACGCCGACGCCGACGCCGACGTCGACGCCGACGACGCCGACGACGACGACCAGAGTATAATAGGCGTAGAGTAGAGTATAATATGAGTAGAGTAGGGTAGAGTGGAGGCGATTAGAGTAGAGGTGGACACGGTAGGGTCGAGTAGAGTAGGGCAGAGCACAGTAGGGAGGTGTAGACAAGGTTCGAGTAGAGTCGAGTAGAGAAGAGTATATTAATATAGTAGAACAGCAGAAATAGAGTAGAGTAGAGCAGACCTGAATAGAGTAGAGTAGCGCAGGAGTAGGAGTAGGAGTAGAGTAGGAGTAGAGTAGAGCAGAGTATCAGCAAATTGGAGTTGAGTAGAGTCAAACATTGGATACGGTAGGGTAGAGTAGAGTAGGGTCGAGTAGGGTAGAGTAGAGTAGAGTAGATCATGCGAGAGCAAAGTAGAGCAGAGTAGGGCAGGGTAGGTTCGGATAGAGTAGAGTGGGGTTAGAGTACAATGTGGCCTTAGTCGGATTTTGAGAGAGCCGGATCGAGCCCTTGTATCAGAGGCGGCGCCTGGCGCGGGCGCCAGCGACGGGTGCGGCGCCGCCGCCGCCGCTGACGTTGTCGCCGTCGTCGGCGTCGTCGTCGTCGTCGTCGTCGTCGTCGTCGTCGTCGTCGTCGGCGTCGTCGTCGGCGTCGTCGTCGTCGTCGTCGTCGTCGTCGTCGCGTGGGGGGGGGGGACCCCCCGAATAATTTTCCACATGAGGCGGATGGGGCTTCTGGACCCCCCAGGACCATTTTCACGGGGGAGGGGAGGGGGGGGGGGTCCGGACCCCTCCGTCTGTTTGCGGGGGGAGGGGGGGGAGGAGGTAAGGGGGGAGGTCCCTTGGTTTCTGACCCCCCTCAGGGCCTGTTTTAGGAGTGGAGGGGGGGGGGGTCCCGCGGTTTCGGCCCCACCTGTGTAGAGTTTTCTCAGGCCAGCGACGGTGGATCGCGCTCCCTCATTGATCCCCGTCACAATTGATCCTCGTCCTGGCCTCGTCTTACGTCTGGGGCACTTCTGGGAGCCATCGTGAGACGTCTTGGGGCTCTCTCGGCCGGTCTTTCGCTCGTCGTTTGGGGCCTCGCGCAGGGACCTTCCAGGGCCTTCGCTGCTCTCCACGGGGCGCTCTCGGGGACGATTTTGGATAGTCTTTTCGGCGCCTCTGAGGCCCGCAGAGGAGAGCATGGCAAGATCATCATTGACGCGCATTTTTCGCTAGTGGCTTACCTGGAGCATCTCGGGGCCCTCTTTAGGGCCGTCTGTGGCCATCCTGGTGGCCCCGCGTGCTGCCTGGCCATCTTCGGCTACCTTCGGGCACTCTTGGGCTGTCGTTGGGCCCACCTTGGAACGTTTTGGAGGGCGTTTTGGGGGACGTTCCTTCGGCAGAAGGATTGGTGGGAAGCTGTTGGTAGGAGACCTGTGGTAACTCGGAGCTTCCTCGCGCCAGTGGAGGTGGGTGGGGGGGGGGAATGACTATCCAGACCTTTGATTTGGGCTCCAGTGTCCGTGTGGACGGCAAAAAACAGGAATTTGATCCAAGCATGAGCGCATTGGGCTCGATGAAGCAATTTGGCCCGACTGCTGATTTTCCAATAAATGAAGCGAGCCTGACGAGAAAGCACGGGCCCGACGCACATATATCAACCGCCTGACATCAAGCGTGATGGCGGATCAACGGCGTCTTCATTCAGGAAACCTTCAGGGTGGCCGCCCAGGACGACTTCATCATGATGCACCAGAAGGCCCCCTCCATACCTGGGGTTCCCTCGGGGCCGGGCGGATGAAGAGGATGGCTGGGAAGGGTGCGGTGTGTCGTGAGGAGGGCTCCCTGGGGGCCCGCAGGGAGTGGGGCACAGATGTCCTCGCGGCCCGAGTGTGCAGGTGGAGGAGGAGGAGGAGGAGGAGGAGGAGGAGGAGGAGGAGGAGGAGGAGGAGGAGGAGGAGGAATAATAATAATACGAATCGTACTAAGAAGAATAGTACTCATACTATCACGAAGAACAATGCTACTACTAATGCTACGACTAGTAAGAAGAGGAATGATACGGATCTTACGAAACATAAGAATATGAGTCATACAACTAGTATACATGGGAATGCTAATCCTACTAGGAAGATCACTAATTATGACAAGAAGAATGATGGGGGATAGTACTACTCATGGAAGAGAGGAGGAGAGGAGGAGGAGGAGGAGGAGGAGGATGAGGAGGAGGGACGAAGGAGAGAGGAGGAGGAGAGAGGAGGAGAGGGGAGGAGGAGCGGGAGCGGGAGCGGAGCGGGGACGGGAGGGGGAGCGGGAGGAGGAGGAGGAGGAGGAGGAGGAGTAGGAGGAGGAGAGGAGGAGGAGGAGGAGAGAGGAGGAGGAGGAGGAGGAGGAGGGGAGGAGGAGGAGGAGGAGGAGGAGAGGAGGAGGAGGAGGAGGAGGAGGAATAATAATACGAATCGTATAACTAAGAAATAGTAGTCATACTATCACGAAGAACAATGCTACTACTAATGCTACGACTAGTAAGAAGAGGAATGATACGGACCTTACGAAACATAAGAAGATGAGTCATACAACAAGTATACATAGGAATGCTAATCATACTAGGAAGAGTACTAATCATGACAAGAAGGATAATAGTAATAATCATGTGAAGAAGAACAGGAGGAAGAGGAGGAGGAGGAGGAGGACGAGAAGGAGGAGGAGGAGGAGGAGGAGAAGGAGGAGGAGGAGGAGAAGGAAGAGGAGGAGCGGAAGAGCGGGGGGAGGAGGAGGAGGAGAGGAGGAGGAGGAGGAGGAGGAGGGGAGGAGGAGGAGGAGGAGGAGGAGGAAGAGGAGAAGGGGGAGGGGGGGGATGGGGGATGAGGAGGAGGAGGAAAAGGAGGAGGAGGAAAAGGAAAAGGCAGGAGGAGGAGGAGGAAGGAGGAGGAGGAGGAGGAGAAGGAGGAGGAGGAGGAGGAGGGGGAGGGGGAGGAGGAGGAGGAGCAGGAGGAAGAGGAGGAGGAGGAGGAGGAGGAGGAGGAGGAGGAGGAGGAGGAGGAAAAGTATGATAATGAAGTCGAGAACTGTGGGTGGGACGTGAAGAGCAAGGGCAGCACGGGCGAGCATGCCCACCCGCTGCGGCTGCTCTGGCTCAAGGCCGAACGATTGAGGCCTGCGCGCGACGGCGCGGGCGCGGACATCGGACAGAGCTGGTGCGGCTGTGGCGCCAGCGTCGGGGGGAAAGGTCTTTCGACTTGGTGGCAGAGCCTCGGTCCACCACGGACTGGGGTCTCCAGTACCACCACTGCGCGACGAGGGCTGGACGTCTCCGGCGATAGACAGGTCATCGAGGTGACAAACGGCGAGCAGGTGGTTTCCATCGGGGTGGAATGCATACGCGGCTCGGACTACGGGGTCGGCTTCTGGCCGGCCATATCCTGATACTGCCCCTGGCTGGACTGCTTGTGTTGAACAAGAGGGAGAACATCCAGCTCGAGGTGATTGGCTCCCTGAAGGTTCCACCTGCGTGGAGTCCAGAGCTTCACAGGCCTACCACGCGACGATTCGGGCGGCGGCGGCTGCGCGAGAAGTCCTTCCGTAACAGCAAGGACCGGCAGTGGCCTTGCGACTTGGAGGCGCTGCTCGCAGCCTGGCGAGGGAGATGCCACAGGAGCAGCGAAGTGACGGAGCACCCGCAGACCCAGGCGATGGGAACGGAGCGAGGCAGCTGAGCGGTCTCCAGCTGCTTCTACTTGTACTGTCGAAATCGTTCGTACCGCTGGGTGACGAGAGCGAGCTTCGTGCGACCCATGATCTGTTGGGGTTCTATCGGAACGACCATGAGAAGATTGACCAGACGCTGTCAAGGTTCGAGGTTGCGCGCAGGAGGGGAACGACACTGGGAGGTTTCAACATGGGCCCGCAGGGAGACGCGTGGATGTTGCTGAACGCTCTCAACTGCCATCCCCCAAAAATGGAACGGACGGATTGCTCGTTCATTTCCGTGGCCACCTACCCAGGACAGAGCAGCAGTTCAACGAATTGGTCGAGTATATCAGAAGGTACGGCCACATCCTGGAGAAGGGGCCGGTTGCAGCTAACAGGAGCAATGGCAAGGGTGGCTACAGAGGCGGCAACTTCGTTTGCCCAACCTTCATCCATGGTGGCGAAGGGGGACAGCAAGGTGATGGGCACGACGGAGGCTTTTGATTTGGAGCGGGAAGCGGCATGACGCCTGCCGGAGCTTACCCCGCCGCTCAAGAAGCCCAAGTATCGGGGTGGAGTCCGTCGGTGCCATGGTCGCCGACGGGTGGGCCATCTATTTCGGTCCAGACAACGCTGGAGATACCGACGCGGAGAAAGACGAAAACGACGGCGAGGGCGTGGGCGGATCGGATTTCCCTGGCGTCACGGATAAGGACGACCACGTGACCCAGCAGGGCTTCTACCAGAATTGCGCATTCCACAAGAAGCGTTGGAGGAGATTCAAAGGGCGACCTGCGCGTTTCCAGCTTGTCAGTAAAGGTGGGAGCGGAAAAGGATCACTGATGCCCTTCCGAGGGGCGGCCAACTCATATACGGTGGCCGCGGCCTTTCCGAGCGCGTCATCGGCGCCGGCACGCGGCTCTGGAGCCATCGGCTCCTTCGCAGCAGAGAGCATTGTAACCAGCGGGGCGCCCGCAGCCGCTGGTGGCAAGGCGGGCGTGACAGGTTCGAGAGGATGCGTTGGAGCTGCGCGCGCCGGCTGCGGCAGAGCCGAAGATGGCGATTGAAGATCGACGCGAGCTGGGGGGCGGACCCAAGACAGTCATGCCGAACGGCACTGGGGAACCCCCCTTCGAGACCAGTGGAGGGGGCCAGCCTTTCCTATAACGGGCATGTCGAGCGCGGGCGAGACGAGGGGCGCGACGAACGCCCCAGGACTCGCGCCAGGCGGGCTAACCTTTGGATTCGACCAAATGCGTGGTCTATCTTTTATCTTGGCGCCTGCTGGAGATACCTCTGGGGCCAAGCCGTTGGGGCCTCCAGCCCCGCCGTCGAGCATCGTCTCGCCGCGAGCGGCCGCGCCGACAGCGGCGCCGACAATGCCGAAAGGACTGGGGGGTTTGACATCTGCGAGAAAAAACGCCAGCAGGATGCCTTTACCATCGGCGGCCTTGCTTTCACAGCAGTTCTGCCCGAAGCGTCGGTCACGCCTCCGAGCGCGGACGGCGCGGCGGGCAGCTGGGGGCAGATCTCGCGTTCGCCGGGCGACGACGCTCGCGCGGCCGTCGTCGCAAAGCAGCAGGTGGACCATTCGATCTTTGACGACGAGTTTGAGAGCTACTTCGATGACGAGGAGAAGCGTGACTTGGTCGAGGAGGTCGAGCGCGAGCGGCAGCGGCGATGGCCGACCGGCGCGTGGGAGATCAGCCCAGAGAGCGAACGCGCCAGCAACCTGGACTCGCGCGCGGCGCCCATCGCCCCTGACAGCGACGTCCCGGCGCTGCTCGGAGACAGTCCCCTGAAGAAGCTGGATGCGATCGTGGGGTGCGGCCCTGGCATTCTACGTCTATGCGGGCCTGGGCTTCGAGAGCTCTCGTTGCCTGCCGGTGTCAGGAGCTGCCGCCTGAAGGCCAGCGGGGGCGGGTATTGGCCACTCCCGTGCTCGAAGTTCAAGGGGGTGGCCGCGACGAAGGCGACGGGCTACATGATCGAGTTGCAACCGAGGCCCGAACAGCTCGGCTTCGCGACGGTCGAGGCCGAGAGCGAGACGACGCCCATGGACCAAGGCAGTCAAGGTCCCGCTGTCACGGGATGCGGAGTTGCGCCAGGCAGTTCCGGGCAAGGAGCGGCCCGCCGCGCGAGAGCCAGGGCGGCGGCCGCCTCCAAGCCCGCGGCGGCGCTCAAGCAGGAGACGTTTCACGGGGGGGTGCGCTTCGAGGATCGGCCGCTGGCTTCGCCTTCGGAGCACCAATGAGGGCGCGGGGCCCTGGTCGCGGAGGCCGGGGCAGCGGCTGGGCGCCATCGGGCGACGCCGCAACAACTGCAGGTCATTGGGCGCCGTCTTGGTCTGGCCGCGACGATGGGAGCTGCAAGAGGAGGAGGTTGCTGGCCACTCGCTCGAGCGCTGGTCCACGATCAGGCGCGCAGTGAAGAGTTTCGAGACCTCGAGCGGCAGCGCGCGGAAGGGTGGTTTCGATTGCTTTGGGCGGATCTACATGGGCGCCGTGGGGCCGAACGAGGACAGCGCCCGCGACGACGTCCACGGTGTCTTGAGGAGTGCGTTCGAGTTCAAGCGGCGGCCAGAGGCGGGGCCTCCACGCTGATCGCTGAACGCGGCAGCACCATGTGGGCAGATCCGACGGACATGCGATTGCGGACGGAGGTGCCCCACGACGCAAACATCCACTGGTGCTCTTTCGACGTGCCCTCTCTTCCAGACGAGTCTTTCGAGCAAGGTTGGAGCGACCGGGTCGACCGCGCTCATGCGTCTTTCCCAGTCAGCGCGAAGTCTTGCGCGCGCCTGGGTAAGGGGCGACGGCGCAGAAGCGATTGGGGGGGATCGCCAGGCAGCGACCAGCGGAAGCAGCAACGATACGATCAACAACTACAGTACATGGTGGCGATGTTCAGGGAGATCAACGAAGCCCTCGCTATCGAGGGTGACCGTTCACCACCAGAGTCGAGAACTAAAACGGCTGCGATTGCGGGCATCCGCCAGGAGGAGAGCTCTTGCCCGACCGAGGCCAGGATGCGCGCCACGATGAAGGCCCAGGTCGACAGGCCGAAGGAAGCGCTGAGGAAGATGTTCGGTATGGAGAATCACTTCGACGTCTATGGTGATTCCATCAAGGGGCTGGGCATGAGCAGCGAGCTCTTCGCGATCTACGAGGAGTGCACGAGGAGTGCGAGACGCACTCAGATGACAACGACTACTTCGTGCTCTTCACCGAGGAAGGGTTCTTCGATGGTGGATGCCATGCCTCTTGTCTTCGCGGAATCGCAGGCGACGATGGAGCTGCGTGGCGCGATGGCCCGGGAGTCCGTCGGGTCGCCGATCTATCGCATCTTGTTGCCTTCAGCGCGAAGACGACGCCCGGCATGGGCGACTTGGAGTTCTGCGGGGGAAGAGGCGACGTTAGTCGCATCTGCGTTCGCAGGAAATGTCGAATCGGACCCAATTTCGATATCGCGTGCGCCTCAGGTCTTCGGAATGCGAACGAATAGTGGCCGCTCTGGGCCAATGTGGAGCGTGGTGCGCTGGTTGTGGTAACCGCTCCTCTCTGCGCTCACTGCAGCCGCTTCTAGCATGGTCCGCGCCAGGGGCAGCTGGGCGGGGAGCTGCGAGAGGTTCCGGCCGCTGGCCATCCTGCGTGGAGAGATGGCCGTCTGCCAGCTGGAGCGCGGGCGAGATCTTATCAATGAGAGTCCAGCTGGATCCAAGCTGCATCATGAACCACCGTGGCGCCGAATTGCGGTGCGCCTTGGAGTTGCGCGCGCCGCGGTGGATCAGTGCGTGGCAGGCTTGAGAAGCCGAGCTGGAGCACCGATGAGGAAGAGGACGGATCTCTGGGCATCACGCGAGGCTCTACTATGACACGTGGCGATGTTCCAGTGCGACGGTGGACGCGAGCACAAGACGATCGAGGGCCGAAAGGAGTCGGAGCGGGCCAGGCTGTGGCCCTGGTCTTTCGCAGTCTTGCTCCTTCGAGGGGCGTGCGTCGATCTGCCCGGAGGATCGGCATAATTGCTTCGCGAGGTCGTGGGTTCAAGGGTTTCGATAGCTTCGATAGCCTCGTGGAAGCACTACGGATGGAGGAGGGAGGCTTAGGTCTCAACGATGCTGCTCGCATCTTCGGTCTTCGGCGCGATCGAGTGTTGCTGTCGGTTGGTCTCTGGGCGACTCATGCCGTTTCCCAACTTTGGCTGACGCGTGGCGGCTAGGTTCTAGTGGTGGATGTCTCCGCGCGCCTGGGCGACCTGAAATGCGCCGGAGAGGACGAGGCAGTGAGCGATATGATACGGGCGCTGCAGGCGGCTTTAGATGGCTACGCTTGAGAAGAATTACGTTCACTGCGGGCTCCGACGCCGACAAGTAGACCGCGTGAGCATAGAGGTGGACCAGGCGGAGTACATCGAGAACTTGATATGCACCGGCGACAATCCTTAAGGGGTTACAAGACAAGAGTGACGAGGGCGACCCCCCGGAGAAGCATGTGAAGTTGTATCCGTCCCTCCTTGGAGCTAGTTTGTGGTGTATCATGACGAGAGTGGGAATATGCGTATGCGTGGCAGCTCTGCAGAGGCATGGCAAGGCTCCCATGGATGGCCACATCGAAAAGATGCATGTGTTGCTGAAGTACATGAAGGAGAATCCGATGTCCGTGGTGACGGATCAGCGGAAGCTGCCGGCGAAGTTGGTTGCAGTGGGCGACGCAGTTTTCGGGGGAGAAGCAGATGACAAAGGCATGGCCATGAGAGGCGCAGTGTATCTCCTGGTGGGACATGGGGAAAGACCAGGAGGACAATTCAACATGCTGGAGTTTTGTTTTGAGGAAGTAGGCGCACGTATTGTGGAGTACCTTGGGAGCTGAGTTGTGCTAGCTATCGGATGGATTTGATTAGCTCTCCTGTTGGCGTGTTTTCTGACAGAAATACAGATGGGAGAGATGAGTGTACGACAGTTACGAGCCATGGTGGATGGCGCTGAAACCTTCATGATGCCAGTGCTACCTCTGGATTTCTGGCACTGCGGCTAGCAAGTCAAGATGCCGGCCGAGCGGCACGCGCTGTACCACTCGCGATGGAGACGAGAGCTGCTGGACAGAGCCATCCTACGAGTACTATGGTGGATTGATGCGAGGGACTGTTGTGCAGATGGGCTACCAAAGGCAGCGTACTACGAGAGGCGCTGAGGTGCGTCGCGCGAGGACGGTGGAAGGTTCAACGCCTGGTCGCTGCTTGGAAGTCGACGGGACGAGTGCTCCAGGGATCAAGCCAGATTTCAAGTGGATCACCCTCGACGACGTAGAGGGCCTCTCCATATACGTATCGATTTTGTGGACTCGTAGTCTCTGGCGGGCAGATTCCTGTGCTTGCTGGAGATCAGCGACCTGAACACGTCCACCACCAGAGTCGAGAACTGGGGGTGGGACGTGGGGAGCCAGGGCAGCACGGGCGAGCATTGCGACCCGCTGTGGCTGCGCTGGCTCAAGGCCGAGCGACTGAGGCCTGCGCGCGACGGCGCGGGCCTGCACCCGAGGGCGCGGACATCGGAGAGAACTGGTGCGGCTGTGGCGCCAGCGTCGGGAGGGAAGGCCTCTCGACTGAGGAGGAGGAGGGGAAGGAGGAGGAGGAGGACGAGGGGGAGGACGAGGAGGAAGAGGAGGAGGAGGAGGAGGGGGAGGAACAGGAGGAGGAGGAGGAGGAGGAGGAGGAGGAGGAGGAGGAGGAGGAGGAGGAGGAGGAGGAGGAGGATAAGGGGCGATCGGAACAGTTTTTTTTTTGTTTTTGTTTGTTTTCTCTCCTGCTGTTTGCGAGGACGGATCGTTCTCGAATAAGAAACGCACGAAATCGAAGCACACACCGGAAATGGACGCCCGAACGATTGTCAACAAATTGACACGGGCCGGAAAGTCCCCCTCATCCTCCACACTCTTTCTGGCCTCCACCGCCCCGGTCATACCGTCGTCGGGCGCGTGGGAGAGGAGGCAAGAGGGTCTCGCCTCCACGTTCAGAGTGGCCATTCGCCAGAGTGTTTTTTGGTGCGGGCCCACTGGTGTTCCCCGATCGCCGATCGCGATGCGGCAGTAGCACCCTGCGCGCTCGTGTTTGGTCCCCCCGCGGCCCTCCAAGAAGCCGCGCACCACAGGTCACTCCTACCCAGGGGGTCGTTCTTCCGTGGAGTCGACGGATGGGGTGTGAGGGAATGGTCCGGGTCTAGACCCGGGTCCTGAAGGAGTCGGCAGCACGCACCCACCTGATCAAGATGGAACGGCTCTTCAAGGCCGGGGACGCGTCTGGCGACGGATTTCTGGACATTGACGAGTTCATGACGCTGATGCAGAACGGGGAGGTCAAGACGTGGCTGTCATCCATGGGGCTCGACGCAGGTCGGTCGTTGGCATGGAGTGCCCCCCCCCCTGCGCTTCGCGGGCGGGAGACATATCCATATCCACTGCCTCGCAGTCTGGATCCCAGGCCGTGATCTCGTGGATACGTGGCGGCCTCGCGCTGGTGTCCAGCGGGGAACATATCCATGGGAGAGCCGTGGCATCCATCGGCGGCGAGCGAGGGGGGGGAAGTGACAAGGAAAAGGCCTTCCCAGCAGGCTCGGAAGTGAAGTCCCCCAGCCTTTAGATAAGCTTTCTGAGCTTTCCCCGAAGACGCAGAAAACCTATCAGAAGGCGCGAGGGCTTCTGAGAAGTCCCGCCGCCGTTCGAGAAGGTCTTCTCCTTCTCACTTCCCCCCCTCGCTGGCCGCCGAATCCCGATCGCGAGTGCATGCGATCTGGTGGTCGTCGCTTGTGATCCCTGGTCCGAGGTCCCCTGGCTTGCCGCCCACTCTTGTGCCCCCAGTCCGAGGGAGGAACGGCGACACCACCACCAGCGGGCCACCTCCTGCGAGGAGGTCCACGATGCCTCCCGTAGCTTTAAGTCGAGCATGTCTCTCTACAGGAGGAATATCCACAGATAGCCCAAAAATAGTCCGGGGACGATTTTTGGATTAGATTTTAGCATTTTAGGGTATTGGACTTTGTATTTGTCGTCCACAGTCCGCTTGTAGGAGGACCCGCCCGACCTAACACCACCACCGGCGGACCACCTCCTGCGAGGAGGTCCACGATGCCTCCCGCAGCTGGTTGTTGGATACGCCGCAGGCGGAGTGCCGCAATACAGGGGTACAACACCACCAGGAGGACCCGTCTTGAGGCCACGGGGGATCTTTCTGAACAAAGCTGGGGTCACCTCGGGCCTCTGGGGACCTCCGGCGAACGCCCGGGAAGGGGACGGGGAAGTCCTGTTCGAGTTCATGGACGTCGACAGGGACAGCAAGGTGAGCCTCGCCGAGCT